ACGGTGGTTTAGTACAGGCCTATTAGGTGGGCTAAGAGGATCACAGAGCTGGAGTCAGAGCACCTGGAACTCATCCCACCTCTGCCAGCTGTGTGATCTAGGGTTGGTAAGGGCACTTTCACTTGTACCAGAACTGTCTCCACCTCTCAGTGTTCAGTATGACCTTGAGTGTAAACACATTTAGGAACTGTTGTTTAGGTCTTCGAATGCAAGGTACGAAATATTGCCTTGGATGAGCCCTCTTCTGTGAGCTAATCTGTAAATTGATGATAATCACCGGATCCCGGTGAAGAAGAAAAGACCCAAGGAACGTAGGCCATGCGATGCGTGAATGCACCGGGCTTGAAACACCTCAGCGCGACACTTCGTTTTACTTTCTGGCTCACCTAGGAACAGTTTCGTCAACTTTGGGGTGGGGAGGTGACTAGAAACCCTCCGAAGACCAAAGACGGGGTAAGCTACCTGCCTCCGCCCCTTTAACCATTTTCTTCCTAACCCCACTTTAAAGACAAAAGACGGAGGCCAGAGGCGCCGGGAACCTTGGCCAACTGGGCTCCTTCGCGCCGCACCGAGCTCTAGCGCTCCCGCCGCCAGGGGGCGCTGCGGCCGCGCAGGCTCGCCGGGGGCGGGGCGAAGGCGGAGCCTGTCCGTAGACATGGCGCCGTCCGCGCTGCTGCGCCACTTCTCGCGGCTGCTGGCCCCCGCCAGGCTCCCGAGCGGCGGTGAGTGTCCCTTCTCCTGCCGGCCCCCTCGACCCTCAGCCTTCCCCTGCCCAGGGCGGCCCTGACCTCCGCGGGCAGCAGACGGCGGCGACCCGCGCTCGGCCTAGTGACCTTCGCCGGCCACGGTCCGGAACCCACCTGGGTCCTCTCGGTCCTCGTCTCGCACTCTGCAGGCTGGGTCCCGCACACACCAGGAGGGGACCCTCGGGTGCCTCTGCGGCCCTCCGCGGGTCTGAGTCGCCGCCCTTCGGCGAGGCTCGGGGGCGTCCTTCAGGACCCGTTTCCTGGGCCGTTGAATGGGGGGATCGAAGGAAGAATTCACCC